GACGAGGTCGACCAACCACCCCGCCATAAAAAGGGCAGTGTTGGTCGACCCCAACATAGCGAGGAGGCAGTGTTGGTCGACCCCAACATAGCGAGGAGGCAGTGTTGGTCGACCCCAACATAGCGAGGCGGCAGTGTGGTCGTCCTCAAATTTTCGTGGAGGCAGTGTGGTCGACCCCAATATAGCGAGGCGGCAGTGTTGGTCGACCCCAACATAGCGAGGAGGCAGTGTTGGTCGACCCCAACATAGCGAGGCGGCAGTGTGGTCGACCCCAACATAGCGAGACGGGAGTGTGGTCGACCCCAACATAGCGAGACGGGAGTGTGGTCGACCCCAACATAGCGAGGCGGCAGTGTGGTCGACCCCAACATAGCGAGGCGGCAGTGTGGTCGACCCCAACATAGCGAGGCGGCAGTGTGGTCGACCCCAACACAGCGAGGCGGCAGTGTGGTCGACCCCAACATAGCGAGGCGGCAGTGTGGTCGACCCCAACATAGCGAGGCGGCAGTGTGGTCGACCCCAACATAGCGAGGCGGCAGTGTGGTCGACCCCAACATAGCGAGGCGGCAGTGTTGGTCGACCCCAACATAGCGAGGCGGGAGTGTGGTCGACCCCAACATAGCGAGACGGGAGTGTGGTCGACCCCAACATAGCGAGGCGGCAGTGTGGTCGACCCCAACATAGCGAGGCGGCAGTGTGGTCGACCCCAACATAGCGAGGCGGCAGTGTGGTCGACCCCAACATAGTGAGGCGGCAGTGTGGTCGACCCCAACATAGTGAGGCGGCAGTGTGGTCGACCCCAACATAGCGAGGCGGCAGTGTGGTCGACCCCAACATAGCGAGGCGGCAGTGTGGTCGACCTCAACATAGCGAGGAGGCAGTGTGGTCGACCCCAACATAGCGAGGCGGCAGTGTGGTCGACCCCAACATAGCGAGGCGGCAGTGTGGTCAACCCCAACATAGCGAGGCGGCAGTGTGGTCGACCTCAACAGAGCGAGGAGGCAGTGTGGTCGACCCCAACATAGCGAGGCGGCAGTGTGGTCGACCCCAACATAGCGAGGCGGCAGTGTGGTCGACCCCAGCATAGCGAGGCGGCAGTGTGGTCGACCCCAACATAGCGAGGCGGCAGTGTGGTCGACCCCAACATAGCGAGGCGGCAGTGTGGTCGACCCCAGCATAGCGAGGCGGCAGTGTGGTCGACCCCAACATAGCGAGGCGGCAGTGTGGTCGACCCCAACATAGCGAGGCGGCAGTGTGGTCGACCCCAACATAGCGAGGCGGCAGTGTGGTCGACCCCAACATAGCGAGGCGGCAGTGTGGTCGACCCCAACATAGCGAGGCGGCAGTGTGGTCGACCCCAACATAGCGAGGCGGCAGTGTGGTCGACCCCAACATAGCAAGGCGGCAGTGTGGTCGACCCCAACATAGCGAGGCGGCAGTGTGGTCGATCCCAACATAGCGAGGCGGCAGTGTGGTCGACCCCAACATAGCGAGGCGGCAGTGTGGTCGACCCCAACATAGCGAGGCGGCAGTGTGGTCGACCCCAACATAGCGAGGCGG